TACAATATCATGCCAAAAGGTAATATGTACCATGCCAAGTTGAGAGTAATATGTACCACGTGAATAAAGTAAATTGTACCACGCAAAAACAGTAATCCGTACCGCACAAATAGTTATCTGTACAAACAATAGTAATTTGTAGACAAAAACCAATGTCTTCCGTAGACAAAAAAAAGCCGTATCCAAAATTCCATGGCAAAAGCCATCTATAAAAATAAAATTACTCATTAGTATTGATTTTTTATTGGCATATTTAAAATTATAAAAGAAAATCATATAAAACTCGAATGTATATATAAAAAAAATTACATAAAACTCAGAGGCATATGCAAGGCAACCAGTTATCTTTTCAAAGTAATCATTGTAGGTAATTAATCATTAGTTTTGCATTTTCCCCCTCTGAAAACCTTTTTTCGACTAAATTTAAGATGTATTCAACTCTAACTCCCAACCAATGTGTCATATTTACGTACCGTCTGTCCCCACAAGTTGTATTTGTCACGAGGAAGCTGCACGTGACATCCATTGACTGGTTTGGGGGCTGTTTTGCATGTTTGCCCTCCGAACGCCCTTTTTTGACTAAATTTAAGGCGATTTCGACTCTAACTCCCAACCTATGTATCCTATTTACAGGCATAACTCTATTGTAGACTTTAATTTCTTTTTACTACTGCTTATCTATGTGTTCTAGATCAAATCAAGGATCATACCTAGGGGATCAAGTGCCCAGAAACTATAGCTTTCTCTTCCCAAAAATAGTAATATTAATATATCTATAATACTTTGAATAATTTAATTTTATATTTCTTTAGTTATTTGCATTCACCAGATCACACTGTTCAGTTGAACTAAAACATCTGTTTCAGATTTGTAAATTAAACTGAAATAGTGCATATGCCATTGGAAAAAAGATGATAGCTCCGAAACTCATGCATAAATGGTGGAAAAAATTGCACCCATTAGTATTTGCTTGAATAAGATTAGCATTTCAAATTATAAAATAAAAAATTAAATAAAACTCAAATGTATACAATCTTTTCAAGATTTTGTGAGTCCTAATTAATCATATGTCGCATGTCCGGAGAAGTTGAGAAAAGAAAGCAGAAAGAAGGGGGAAGTGGGTTGCACTTTATTGGTAGAGGCTTCCATGAGAGGGAAAACAATCTAGTTCTATCTACAAATGTAACCAGACAATAATTACAAACAAAAAATAGAGAGCTAGTACTGAAAATGCATGCCTACCTAAAAAGGAACCAGCCAACAGAGCCATTTGATTTTTGTATTTGGCTGTTTTGACACTAAACAGTCAATCCAAGCTTCTCTATATAAAGGCCTTTTAAGGATATAACCCGGGAGCAAAGGATTAGTATCATTCTCTAGTGAAAATATGGAATTAAAGCAAAGCTTGTACTTGGAGTACTTCTTTGGGGTTTTGCTACCTCTTGAACATGTTTGCTTTTTCTATGGCAAACAAGACCATCCTTAAACACGGGCAGAACTCTTTTTTTCAACTTTTCAAAACAATAATGTCAATATTTGAATTTTTCTAGAAATTCTAGTATCATATGAATAAAAATGTTCTTACCAAATAGTAGAATGACCATCTCAAGGCTGCAAGAGGCTTGTGAGCCGTGAGACCATGTTGTTCAAATGATTGAGTTGTACTTGTGCCTCCCGAGCTTTTTTCCCATCTTCGGCTTGTTTCATCAACTCCTCCCTCTCCCTCATCATCTCTTCATGATCTCTCTTGCCCTCCTCTCTGTCCCTCATCAGCTCTTCATGATCTCGTTGCCGCTCCTCATGAAGAGCCTCCATCTCAGCTCTCATTGCATCCATCTGTTGATCACGAGCTCGTGCCGCAGCATCAAATGTGGAAGAGGGTTGTGGCCCGATCCCAAATCCACGCAAGTAATTTTTTTTCTGTCCAAGCACTTGCCTTTGACAGTTCCTCTTGAGTCTTGAGTATCAACTTTAAGGTATTTCCTTCCTATCAACTTTAAGGTGAATATACAAAACAGACCCCTTTTAACTATGACATGTATGCATATATGCACATTTAAAGATAAAGCCAGTTTGGTTTCTTGAATTCACTACTCTTACTTCAGCTTCTCCTCTACAAACCATGGTGTGTTTGGACCGAGCTAAGAAATAGCAAGGTTTTGACCGAGCTAACCGCAACATGCCACGACCGGACTAATTCTGAGTGTGGTGACCGAGCTATCCACAAATCTCTCCCAGACTGGGATAACAATAAGCCTCTCTGGACCGGGATAACAATAGGGCTTTCTGGGACCGGGCTAACTTCAAGCCCCTTTCATCCAACTCTTCTTACCGTGCCCAATGAACGGCCCATTACCCAACTCGGCCCAATTCACATATAAATTACCCTCTCAATTGCCCCTTAATTCTATCTGTGCAACATGATAGGGAACCAACCGAGCTAAAAACTTTAGCTTTACAACCGGGCTAAACTCTTTAGCCCTTTCAGCCGAGCTAAAAACCCTTTAGCCTTTCCAGCTGAGCTAAAACTTTTTAGCCTTTCCAGCTAAGCTAAATTTACACTGGGTTCTATCTGTCTGGTCAAAACGTCCCTTCAATCGCAGCAACTGAATCACTTTTCATTCCAATGACACGTGGCATACTCTCATTAGCTGAAGATAGCTGTCACGCCGTCTTCGTACCTCGTGTTTTTTGAACAGTCTCGCCCAAATTTTGGGCCTTCCATCAAAACAAACCCTTTCGTTCTCTTTTGAATCACTCACACCACTATTCATCTCCTTCTCTCTCTTCGAGCCTCTATTGTTCTCCAACTCTGCAACTATGAAGCTCGTGCCCGTTGCTGTTTTCTATTTCCATTCCCTTCCTCTTAATCCTGGTAAGTAACGCAAATCTGTTCTCTTTTTACACTTTATTTTTTTACAATCCACAGCATATTGTTTATGTGTCTTTGCAAAACACAATTTTGCTTTTCCTTGCGTTTTCTGGGAAAAACCTTACAAGAACTACTTGTATTTCACTAAGCAATCTGTAGAACACTGTATTTGATCCAAAATCATAATATAACCAAACTAGGAAGTTGTTTGTAGTTGATGTCAATCTAGCCAGACTATCAACCGGACTAGCACTTCATGCTAAACTAGTAATTTTATCAGGTCGAACCATCTTTTGTTTCATTTATCTTAGCCGGGCTATTGATCCGCACTATGTTTGTAATAGTATGCTTGAAAGCCTCGACCATGACCGAGCTACAACTCGGGGCTAAACCAGCCTTCTTAGTTCAAACCGAACTAAGAATGCTGCCCCTAGAGGCTCAACGGGGCTAACAAATCCCTTGTTCACACCGAGCTAACAGTCCCCTTCCTCAAACCGAGCTAAGACACGAAGCAATTCTCATAGCCAAGCTAGAACTTCATTTATCTTGCCTTTGTTTCTTGTAGCACGGTCCAATGATCAGTGCTTAACACTTTTCTTTTTTCACTTTGCAGACTTAGGTTGGCCAGGCACTCCTTTGAGTGCTCAACCGAGCTGCTCAGCACCATTCTTCGACCGAGCTTACACCCAGTTTAATCTGTACATAACTTAAACCATAAATGGGGAAGAATGGATTTTTAGTAAACTCACCAGGGGCCATAGCTGAATTTCGTAAGGACTACCAAATTCCAGATGATGTCCACCTCTCCCTGGCCGAACCAGAAACCGTTCCTTAGGGAAAACAAGGCTTTGTCCCTTTTAATGTTATTTCAATCATAGAGTGCGGTCTACGTTTCCCTGTACAGCCCCTCCTCTGTGAATTCCTTAGGCAAACCAAACTCTGCCCTACCCAACTTTCTACCAATTCCTACCATATAATAAACGGCATTGTCGCGCTAAACGACCGGGCTGGTCTTAACCTCGGCTTAGCCGAGCTCTTTCATCAATACTCCATAGGATCGGCCGAAGATGGCTGGGTTTACTACTTACAAATAAGGCGCCGGCGTGAAAAAATAATAAGGGATACTCCGGATAAAGACGTGAACGATGATGATTTTTTCTGGGTATCTGGAAATTTTGAAGACCACAAAGCCCAGCTCCCAGGCCATAGAATAAATTGGAACAAGGGTGTAGCCGGTAGGGTTACCTCGACTGAATTCCACGCTTTTCTTTTACCTCGGTCTTCTCATCTTAAACCGTACTAACTGTTGTCTTTTTTATGCAGATTCGAACTTCCTCAAGTCCCAATACAGCTACCCCAACCTCAATACACTTCGCGCCGCCCTGCGATATCCAAACTGAAGTTGGACCAAGCTACTGGACTTTCAACCGACCTATCAATATAGTGGCAAATGGAAGAGCAAGGTAACTGATTTCTTATTGGAAGCCTCGCCAGAACCGGACCCAAACTTGCCCCAAATCAGATTGATCCCTTTAACTGCTGATCAAGAGATGGCCAAGAAGAGAGCCGTGTGAGTCCTTCTGACCGAAACAAATCCGTCCGAGGTACCGTCAGCCGGTCAAACTCAGGAAACTGTAGTAGCTCTACCAACCCACCAGTCTTCGTCATCGCGGCCAAGCAAGCGTGCTCAGACTTCCACAACCGAGCCACGCCTCGTTGATGAAGACGAAACTGTGGTTCTACAAACAACTCTGCCAAGCTCTCCACCCAGCCCACAACCGGAGCGCTTTGACCGAGCTACCTCCTCCAAGTGGGCTCCAAAAATCACCTTTCAGAACTGTGCTATCACGGATTCTGACTCAGTGGTCATAGAAAAAGACCACTTGATGGCATTCAACCTGGCTAAAGGTGTTTGCCTTCCAGCCGACATGAGGCACCACGACCACCTGACCGAGCTGAAGGCCCTTCGCTCGTCCACAAAATCCATGGTGCTAGTAAGTTGCCCTTTTATGTTATTTTTTCTAAAGAAAATTTTCCAATTTTATGCTCGGTTATATTGAAAAAGTGTCTTACCATGCTTTTGCAGGCCATACAGAAAAACCACATCACTCACAAGCGAGTGTTGGAACTTCGAAAAACTACCAAGCAAGCAATGGCCGAGGCAAATGAAAAGGCGGCCGAGCTGAAAGTGTCCAAGCAGAAGGTGGCCGAGCTATAGACCGAGGTAACGTGTCTTGCTAGGCTAGTTACCTCGGCTAATGCTGATAAACAGAAGGCCCTCGCCGTGATGAAAGACAAATACTTGCCCGAGTTGGCCAAGCTTGAAAGAAAAAAGGATGCCGAAATAACCAAGCTCGAAAAGAAGCTGGAAGATGCGGAAGACCGTGGCTTTAAAGAAGGCGAAGCTCTGTACATTAAGCAGTGTGAAGCTGCAAAGGACCTCTTCTTTAAGTGCGGATGGAGGGGTGCCGTGGTGCAGCTCAGTCATGGGCCTGAGACCGAGGTCTTCAATCCTCCTCAATACTTCATACCGAGCTCACTTGCGGAGTATGCTGCCACCACTCAGCAACAATTTCTTGAAGATTTGGATGATGAAGAAACCGTGCCCAACGATACCCCGGTCGTCAATGAACCAGCCAATCAGTCAGATCGGGCGGAGCCAACGGTGGAAGACCTGACTGTCGAACTACCAACTGAAACCGTGCTTCCAACCGAGACCATACTCCCGACCGAAACCGAGCTTCCAACTGAAACCGGGCTGCGAGTTAAACTTGATGCTGATCTTGATGATCTGTTTGCCTGACTTTGCATTTCTCTTCGTTTTGCTTGATTTCTGTATTTTCTTTTCTTTGCTTTTAGGCACAGATTGTAACTGGGCTGAGGCCCCACCCTTTGTACTTGTTTTGAATTTTCAATGAAGTCTGCTTTCAAGTTCCAACTCTTATTTCGGTTGATCTCTATGCTTGTACTTTACTTTCTAACTGATGTCTTAGATGAGGTACAACATTCTCTTGCCGAGATACTTTATCCCGGTCTTAACATTCCAACTATAAGTATACCTGTCAACCACTCTTTAGCCGAGATCTGTACCTCGGTTGAAGATTACCAAGAGTTGGTTTAATCTAGCCAACCAGTCTTTAGCCGAGATACTTACCTCGGCTGAAGAGTACCAAGAGTTGGTTTAATCCAGCCAACCACTTTTTAGCCGAGATACTTACCTCGACTGAAGAGTACCAAGAGTTGGTTTAATCCAACCAACTGCTCTTTAGCCGAGATCCTTACCTCGGCTGAAGAGTACTAAGAGTTGGTTTAATCCAGCCAACCTCTAAATTGGTTTGTTCCTGCCATCTTAGAATAAAGTGTTTGGTTATCCCGACCAAACGTCCTGCAGCCTGGATCCTTATCTTGGGCTTAGGAAGGGTGTTGGTTTTTCCAGCCAATCATGTTTTCAATGCCCCTAACTTACTAAAACAATTTTTATAGAATAAAACACTTATGCTGAAAAGAAAACTACTTGTTTTATTGGGGAAAAAAAAAATTACAAGTATTCTGAAGAAAGGCTAAAAATAAAATAGTTTGAGATTGGCAGTGTTCCATGGCTTGGGAATTGCTTTGCCGCCCTCATCTTCTAAGTGGTATGCCCCTTTGCCAGCTAATCCGACCACTTTGTAAGGTCCTTCCCAATGAGGCCCTAACTTTCCATCTCCTGGTACCACGGTGTTTCCCATCACTTTGCATAGTACCCAATCTCCGATCTTGAATTGCCTTGGATGCACTGTTTTGTTGTATTTCTTGGATAACTCTTGTTGGTATGAGGCAATGTGAATCAGTGCTCTTTCTCTTCTTTCTTCAGCGAGGTCGAGCTCCAATGCTATGGCTTCTCCATTCAAGTCTGGATCAAAATTTTCGCTTCTAATTGTGGGGAGGCCAACTTCCAGTGGGATTACTGCCTCCATGCCATAGGCTAAAGAGAATGGTGTCTCTCCAGTTGATCGCTGAGGTGTGGTACGGTAAGCCCACAGAACATGGGGCAATTCCTTAGCCCACTTGCCTTTTGCTTTTTCTAACCTCTTCTTCAATCCATCCAAGACAACCTTGTTTGATGCTTCTGCTTGGCCATTTGCTCGGGGATATGCCGGTGCAGAATTGTAGAACTCTATCTTGTATTCTTCACAAAAGCCTCTA